CAGAGATGGAGAGGAGCCACTGCTGCAGCGCTGCCCGGGCTGCCATGCCAAACCCTTGGCGTGGCGAGAGCAGGAACCTCCCCACATGTGCCCCCTCAATAGCACACATGAGGCTGAGTCCTTGGCACATGGAAAAGCCCCTCCAGCACATTCCAAACTCCAAAGAAGTGCAGCGACATCAATAAACGTGATTTCCCTCTTTACTCTGGCTCAGTTATATCTGGTAGGATGTGACTAAATTGGGAATGGGAAGGCTGCCATTGGGCACGGGACACCGTGACATTGCTGCCAGTGCCCAGGGAGCAGTGCTAGGAGCTACCCTTGTGGTCTGCACACTACCCACTGCTGATCATGGGGAGCACCACTACTCATTGGTGATCATGGAACTGATCCTGCCAGGAGTTGAGTGAAGCCCCAAAGGCACAGGGTCTCCCCGGGATGTCCATATTTCACTCCAGAGGTCTGAAGTGGTATGTGGCAGACACACAGCTTCAATGTGCGATACCAGGGCAGATGGGGGGTCATCTTTTTCCTACTTCTCTCTCCAATTTCTTCCTTAAATGCTGGGGAAGGAGAGCCAGCCCATGAAGCAAGTACAGCAGAGCTGCCACAGCACAGAGCGCTTCCAGGAGGAGAAAAGCACCCGAAGTGCAGTGCACTGCAAAGCCCTCCTTCTCCTTCAGTGACCTACAAAGCTACAAATTGGGCTGTGCTCTTTTTAGCTTCACTGGGGATGTAAAGAAAAGAAGAACTTACTATTCTGAAAGTAGCCAGCCAACCCACCCTGCACACGCTGGAGCCTCAGGCCTTCCTGTCCCTGCACCTGCAGGGCTCCTGCATGAGCCCAGCTCCAGCGGAGCACCCCAAGTCCTTACCTGGGGACACGGGGAGCTTCCCTTGCCCTCACAGGCCAGCTGAGCCCACAGCTTTTCTGATGTACCACATCTCCTTCCCTGACCACTCAGATGCCAACTTCCTGTAATACAACATCTTCCAGCACTCCCTGGCCTGGCTCCCCTCGTCACCAAAGCAGCTGACCAGAAACAGGAGACAAGGAGGGCAAAAGGCAATCCCACCCACAGCTCCACTGGCTGCTCCAGATGAAGCAACAGTCCCAGATGAGCCAGCAGTTAATTCTGCCACCCTGACTAGCAGGAAACAGCAGCCACAAGGTGACAGACACGTGTGCACTGGGATGGAGGAAGCTGCAGGGGCTGTGGATCTGTTCTGGTCATACTTGGCAGACTCGGTCACTCTTAATACAATATTCTGCTTATTAAGAGAGATCTGTAAAGAGCAAGATGTTGGCTGTGTGCCCTTCCCAGGAGGGAAAGCAAGCCTGTTGCTTTTAAGTCTTTTAGAAGCTGTTTCTCCTGTGCTTTCTCCTATCTTAATGTGGGGAGCACAAAACCTGCCACAGCCTGTTTCCACACACAGCTTCCCCCTGGTGCTGGGTCAGTGCTGGGCTGGAGCTACCCCAGAACATCACTCATTGACAGCATCCCCTCTCAAAAGCAACGTGGCCGAAGCAAAGCAACCCAGACCAAGCCAGCAGCACTGCTGTGGAGAGGCAGCTTCCTGAGCAGCACCCAAAAGAGCTGGGAGCCTGGAGTATGTCCCTTCAGCTGAAGCAGGTTGATAGTATCTGGGCACAGGCAGGAGAGATGGGAAGATCCAGGCACTACACAAAACCACAGCGCTATTTTGCATCAAAACCACAGCAGTATTTTGTACCAAAACCACAGCAGTATTTTGTACCAAAACATGACCCCCAGAAGCACATAACAAGGATTCTCACTGCTGGTCATTTCTGGTTTCACCTAGCTTTTCGTCTTGCAAAAGAGAAACAGGACTTCTCCTGCCTATAGCACTGCCACAGAGAGACAATGTTACCACAGAGACACACACTTGGAGTCTGGTGGCAGCTCACTACAGACTGGACAGCAGCAGAGTCTGGTGCACCCCTGGCAGGCCATACTTTGCCCCAGTATCTCCAGCCTAACGAGCCACTCTGCCCCATGCTAAACAGGCTGGTCCATTAAAGCTGAACCACCAGTGCCTTTCTGTGCCATGAAAACAGCTTAGACAGAACTAGCTGTTCTTACACGGGAAGAAACATTCCCAAACACTGCAGAAACTGCCTCCACACTAGGGCTTACTGGAATAATGATGCCTATAGATCAGCTGAACACCTAAGGGGGAAATAAAAGCTTTACAAATAATGTTGGCCAAGTTTACTGCATTTAAGTTCAAGGTTTGATGGAATCACCAGTGTCCAGTGCAGGTCCTTTGGGAGCAAGGACCTATATGTTGCAAGATCACAAGACTCAAAAGGAGTTGGTTACCAGTAAAAAGATGGACAGAGGAGATGCTATTTCCGGCTGAAAATGCACCTCCTTCCTGTGCCCTGCATCCCCAGCTCCAGTTAATTAGGGATCAGTACCCCAAAGCCCATGGTTCCCATTACTGACACAGCCAAAACTGGTGACCAAAAGCTCTCCAAACTCTTTATAGCAGTGATGAGAGGAGCTGCTGTGTTAGAGTCCAGTGTTCCCTCATGGCTGTTATTTCCCTCTGCTACATCCCCGCAGAAACAGTCTGTGATTCAAACGTGGCAAGAGGAAAGGTCTACCCATCCACACAGGGTGGGCTCCAGATGTGAAAAACTATGGAACTGTGGAGTGCAGTGTGATCACGGAACATGGCACCACCAGAACAGGTCGTGGCTGAACATATAAAATAGATAATACCACAAAGAGGCCAGTCACAGACAATTCCTGCACTGCTTGCAGACCCAAAGGTCTCCACCATTCTTCCCAGGCAGCAGCCATGCGCGCTTCAGGCTGCTTCCTGTTGGAAATCACCAAGAGTGAGACAAACCTGGGAAGGACAGACCAAACAGATCACTGGCAAGCATTAACTCACATGCAAACCCTGACGGTGCAGTGCTGTCCCCGTGCAGCCCTGAGTCAGCCTCAGCACAGCTGAGATCCACGAGCAGAAACACCATCTGCGTTGTCCCTGCTCCTCCTGCATTTGATAACTGGAGACCCACAACGATTTGGCTTTGTCTTGCCTCTGTGAGCAGGGATTCCAGCCACTGGGGCAGGAAGCAGTGTTTGTTCACACTCAACCATGTTCGGTGATGTTGGCACTTCAAAAGCTGCTATTGCAAATTTTTGGAGCTCTTCCTCCACAAAAAAATAACTTCCAATATTCAGAAAAGGAAAAAACACACTAAAATTAAATGAATATTAAGAAAAAAGGATGTGACCGCTTTCAGCTTTGAGCACATCAAAAAGACACACATTTCAGCTTCCAGGCTTTAAAAGCAAAAGTTGAGAGTTCTGAACAAGCTTGGCTCCCTGAGGCCAGCCTCTTTCCTTTTAAAAAAGGGATACGTTGTAGCCAACACCACCCCAGTTTTCCCAGTTTCAGGAAAGCTGCGTGCCACGGGCTTCCACCTGGTCCAGAAGGAAGGAAATACCAAGACTAGGAAGGCAGACAAATATGCTAAGTATGAACACAAAAGGCAGGTCACATGCTGGCAAAACATCAGCCTGTTACCATTTAAAGGGCTTTTAGGGGTAGCAAGAAGAGACTGAACAGAGCAGGGTCAGATGAGAGGTGGCCAGAGCCATACCCTGTCCATGGCAACCCCAATTGCCCTCCATCACACCAGCATTTCTGAGCAGCATCTCCAAAGCCCAGCCTGGGTGGGCTCTGCAGTGTGTTCTCTGCATTAGCCCTGTGCCACAGTGCAGGCATGGGGTACTGCCCTCCCCACGCACAGGCCCACTGTACGCTCCCACACAGCTTGTGGGGATGTGGCTCAACTCCCACTGCTCCCAAGAGCACCACGCGCAATCCACAGCACACAGCTCTTACCTTGAATGGAAAGACAGCAAAAATCCCTGCTGAAAAAGCAGTGTCAGTGGTTACTTCTGGCTGGGTTTATGTGGAACAAAGAAAAAAAGAGATGTTTTCCCTGTGAGCGAGCCAAACTTCCCCCTCAGCCTTGCCTCTTCCCATGCGCATTTGCTGCCTCCAGCCTGCACACCATCTCCCCAGAGCCAGGAGGGAAGCGATAAACAGCAGACGTGCTGCAGCTTCCTTTACAAAGAGGATGCCCTGGCAATCCTTGACCAGGCATCACTACCCCTCCTTTACCCGGCTGTTAACCCTAGCAGCACCTCCTCAACTCATCATCCTGGTCCTGGGCAAGACAGCAAGAGGGCGCATGCCTACAACACACTGGCGCAAGGCGCAGAGGGAAGCCCAAGTTAAGGGCTAATGGGAAGGTCTGTTCTTTTTCTCGGCTGCATCTCCCCAAGCA